TTCCCCCGGAACAAATTTCGCGCATGGATAAATACAGTGAACACCGTGAATGGGACCTTGACCTCCACGAGGGAGTTATTTTTGGAAGTTAATTCGAACTTTTCTCTTTGCTCATTTTGTGAAGAATCCAGGCGTGAATGTATTTGTTGATTGTATGGGAACCCGACAACAGTCGGTAGATTCTATAACAGCATCGTTATTTGACATGTCGTCTGAAACTGAGGAACCGTGGATCCGAGACGCGTGAAACTGATAGCGTTTGAAGTGAGTGATCTTGCGACGGAGCACAGGTTCGTTACAAATGTCTGAAATGACGAATGTTTATGTGTGCTGTGACTCATATCAGTAGGTCTGTAACATATGTGTCAGTAGGTCTATAGAATATGTGTATTTCAGACATTTATAACGAACCCCTGTTGATCAGTGCAGTGTAACAGACGATATTTCTGATAAATTGCATGAGCGTTAAAATTGTTTCCATTGCCGGCATTGGTGATTTCAACCGATGTGCATTTTGTACGATATTGCAGACCTTGGTCTTGTTTTCGTTGTAATAAAAGTGTTTTTTATCTCATTTTTTATTTTGCACATGAATTTTCAATGACATTATCAAATCTCACAATGCCCAGCGATATTACAGCAGCCGTAATGTTTATTTACATTGGATATTGTAGTTCCGGTCAGTGTTGTAATTAATACGCTAAGAATTGTGTCTCGTGCGGCATGGTAATTATGTCTCGTGCGGCATGGTAATTAAAGTTCCATCAACGACACAGCTTTCAAAGAGGCTATATAGTGACAATGCCATGCACATGTAAATATATATATTTTACATATCACTTACATAATAAAAATACACATATGCAAAATATGCCCAGCCATACTGATTTAAGGGACACTACTTAAAATTTATATATGTTAAAACATAGAATCCATTAATGATTCTCAATAAAAAGAACCATATATTATACTGTACATAACATAAAAATTGAATGTATGCTTAGGATCCGATGTTGGGAGAAGAGCGAGAGTGGTTGGGCCAATTCCTACCGACAAGTCGCCCCTCCCCCACCATCGGGACCTCGATGATTGGCAATTACTAGCACATTAAATACATATAAAATACATGAATTAGATTTACTAAAATCATTAAAACTGAATTATAGTAAATGGTGAAAGTATCGTAATGTTGCCTACTAAAAGCAATAATATGAACCAAATATTACGATGTATATAGTCATAAAAAATCTAAAATGCATATCAAGTTTTAAATACTACCACGTCTCCTTTTCATAAAAAGGAAAACTGACTTAGCTAAGACAGGTTGGAGCGATTCTTCATTCATTAGAAAAATAAATTGTTCGTTATGGTCCATAGAAATGAATGATTGATCTACATTACTTGCTCTTTCAAACAGAGGGACTCGAAGGTCGAAATATAGGTTACATTCACATAAAAAGTGGATTTCATTCTCACTTTTATTATCACAGAAATTGCACAGCCTGTCATTTAATGGAGTGACTGGACGTGTATATCTACCCGTCTCACGTCTCTATAAAATACATAAAGCACGTTCAGATATAATTATAGCGTAACTTCATATTAGTAAACACTAATCTAACCCCCTAATCCCTTGATATTCTTTATGCACAAGATCTGGGTCTGTAGTACACATTCCAGCGGAGCGAGGTGAAAACACGCCCGCACACCTTGACAGCACGCACAGGTTTCCGTGGGGGAACTGAGAACACCCATTTCAAGGGCGTTTATTAGTTTTATGACGGTACCGTGAGGGATGCGACGGTCGCATTCTTTACTGCGCAACAGCGGAACGGTTGAAGTTCAAGTGAACGTCTGTTTGTAGTAGGTCTATTAGATATACATGTAATTATGTTTTTTGATTGGGAGGTACACGTCTGCAATAAAATGAGACGCAAGCTTAGCATTTTAGCATGTCTGCCTGTGAATGTGGTTGATGCAATGACTAGGACTGATCCTCGAACAATGGGAGGAAACGTGAAAGGTGGAAACTTCGATGATCTTGTATGATTGCAGTGTTGACCGCCTCAAGATGGTCGTTTGAATCAAAAGCACATTTGTAAAACTCTATGTTCGTTCTTATCTAATCGGAGAGCTTTAACTGTAAATGGTCTCGAAATACGCGGGACGGAATGTCTGTTCCTTTCTCTCCATGGAGCAGACGGGCAGCTGAAGCGTACGAAATGACCGTCATATTTGAGTCAGATTTGAGGCTTAAACTTCAAGAACATTTCGAGTTATATTCTCCCTCTTACAATCGGCGTCCCTTAAGTGTCAATATTGGGGCCACTTTTGTTCATTTTATATGTTAATCATCTGCCCCTGATTACAAATCAAAGTACTTTGTATATGTACGCTGATAACACCGCAGCGCAATCGCAAGGAAAATCCCTTGTCGTTGTAAATAACAGCCTCAATGCTGATGCAAAATTAGTATCAAAATGGTGTGATGAAAACAAAATGTGTGTAAACACAGAAAAAATAAAAGTCATGCTTGTTACTACATTTATTGTACTTCAAAGAGAAAGTGTTAATTAAAAGACGAATTGTCTGTTGTTATCAACAATGTATACATTAAGAATGTCAAATGTGAAAAACTCTTGGAATTGTCAATAGATGATTGTCTTTCCTTGGACATTCAATTTAAAAATGTTTGTAAAAAGATATCATGTCAATTATTTCCGATGACAAAGCCGATACCCTTTTTGAGGCAGTCATCTTGTATGACTTTTTATTATTACTTTGTAAACCCACATCTGGATTTCAGCTCTACTGTCGGGGGTAACAGTTTAAAAAATAATACTGCCAATTAGAACGCCTGCAAAAGAAAGCATCCAGAATTATTCTAAATTATGGAATTTCCCACACCTTCCTGTGATATGTTCAAAAAACTAAATTGGTTTTCTTTGCACAAAAGTATCTGATGCAACCAAGTAGTTCTTATGTACAAGATACTTAACACAGTGGATGAGTGCACGTATCTGTCTGATGTTCAGGGTAGAACTACAACATCATCATCTACCAATGTGCTTTGCTTGTCATGTCATAAGACAATTTTATTTAGAAAAAAAAGTTTTAAGATATCAGGGACCCCTTACATAGAATCTTTCACAAAGTCATAATAGAAATAAACCTCACTTCAGATCTGCAAGGAAATTTTACTTGGAATGATTTATATGTTTATCCCTTATCCTGTACTTTATACATGTATATTTCTTAAAGCTGTAAATATTGTACATTTTATCATACATTGTATCTTGACTCTATGTAAGATGATCTTCGTGCTCAATTGTTATCAAGAATAAATAAAGCCTATTCTCATTATTGATATGCAATCCCTTCCACCAATTTACTTCGATTTTTGAGAACGTAAGTTAAATTTTCCTTATAAACCATAAAAACATCAGTGCAGTTTACTTATATTCCGTCTTTGCGTATTGCAGAGTTATCTTCTCTTGGGAGCAGGGATTGATTGTTACGTCACTTGTTTGTGAAAGTAACGTCATCAATTTTTAAGAAAACGACGTATTTTTCTCACACTAACTAATGACGTAACAATCAACACCTGCTCCCAAGAGAAGATAACTCTGCAATACGCAAAGACGGAATATAATCTTCATAAAGTTAATGCTATCGAAAGTCCAGATTGGAGTAATTAAGCCATCCCTGTGAGAATGTTTTTCATGTTTTCTTCGAATGCCAAATGCTGAATACCTAACATATTTGATCTCAAGTTAGAACTCTTTTTGTTCGGTAGTGCCAAGCTTTCAATTGATCTCAACCCATTTTACAGAAATGTGAATCCTTCATCAAATCAGCTATAGATTAAAATGATGATTACGCGAGTCTCAGTGTGGGTATTGGTTGTTGCGTCCGGTGTTGGCGGGGTATTTATATAAAACTGGAACGATTACACACATTTTGCACTATCTAAGTTTAAGATTTCAAACCAGATTTTCCAATAATTCAATGCGAAACAAAATTTGGGTTCAACAACATCCAAGCTTCAAGACATTAGCATACCTTACAGTAACTGATACGTATGAAATGCTTAGATTACAAAATAGTGCGGATATGACTTTTTACATGTAGGTAATAAAATAAACTTTATGTATTTTACAACAATTATGAAACAAGTTATTTCGACTAATATCAATCACTCTTGTTGTCCCGGATGTTAGCGCGCAGGGGGTCTTAGTGTGGGAGGAAACCAGAGTACCCGGAGAAAACCCACGTAGTCGGGCAGGTGACCCTAAACCTTGTCACGTCTGATCGGGGAATCGAACCCCGGCCGCCTTGGTGAAAGGCAAGTGCGCTACCCACTGCACCACCCGACCAACCTCGGACATGTTCTTCATATCACTACACCAATGGGAATTATGTGAGAATTATTGTCTGATATCTTTCTATTTTGTTTGGTAATGTTATATAGTGGCAATGCAGAGCAAATGAAAATATTTGTATTATAACCCTGAAAAGAATATCCGGAATTGAGCGTTTTGTGTATTATGGTATTCCGTCTCCGTATCTTGTTTCTATGTTTTTTTTTTATTTACTTCGTGTTTCCGGCAATAAAGTGAAACCTGTTTCGATTTATCTCTTAATAATTCTCTCACATCGCAAACCCAGTACACTTGTGTCAGATAAGATTAAATACTGCGTGGCCTGAAAAATAAAATGTACCCAAAACACCAGACCTCAATATGCCACGGGCCGTATTCATGAAACCATTATCATGCTCAAACTCCTGTCCTGGTTGTAACTGATAAGTAAAACAACTTGAAGTAATAAAGAACTTGAACTTGGTGATAAATAGAAATAAAATCACCCCTTGTCATTGATTTGAAAGAGTGTAGGAGAGACCACGCCGAGTACAGTTTAAAATGTTTACATTTGACTGTTTTCTACCGTGTCACATGCTTTAATCCAGTTACAGTACAACAACGTTGGTCGACACAAAATTGACGAAAATCAAGCAGTTTAATGAATAGTTACATAACAAAAGCAATAACAACCCTTAAACACACCGCACAATCTATCACAATTAAATCTGGTCGCCATGGTAAATCTGCAAGTAAAGAAATAACACAGTAAGCAAACATGAATATATACATGTAAATACATAACAAAGATGTAAGATAAGTTTCTTCAGAGAAATATAATAATTCATTTTAAAATCAGCAATGGCAAATCAAGAAATGTATCTAAATTCATGCACAACTGTATCTTTCTTACTTGAAAACAACAGTTCGTTTAAAATTGAAGCAAAGATAACAGATTGTAAAATCAAGTGAAAAAAAGAATGCTCACCGTAATTTTTATGAGTACCCGGCCGATCTCCACCTCCCTGGGTTACGTCTAACCAGTCAGGGTTCCTGTTATGTTGAAGGCGAACAACAGCAGGAGACCAGAGATCACTGAAATAAATAAAGGTTCGGACGTTACTGGGGCGGTCACGTGATAGCGGAAACAGACATTGTTTCTTAATAAGATACACATTAGTGGAGTGGTAACGAGATTGTGAATATACGTATCGCTTGGGAAAATAATGTTTTAATAAGGTTTTACGTCTGCTTTTACAGCCTTTTAGCCTTTCACAACACGAGAAAAGAACGGAAAGTGGGTAGAAGGGAAGTGAAGACAGACATATATATTGGCCTACATGTACTTAAGGGCAATTACGTTTAAATGAGAACTGAAGCTACGCGTATGGTCACGAGGTAACACGGACGAAAGTTACAAATGTTTTACGAGTACTTAAGGTCATTGGAGTGTATTGATAAACGGAAACAGGAAGTACATCCCTAGTTGAAAATCCAATGTAGGGAGACAGTATCACAAGTTCCGCAAATTCTAATGTTTAATATTAAACTGATGAATATTGTATGTTTATTATTGACAGAACAGTGTGTTCTCTCACTATTAAAGTATTTTAAAGCAATCCAGGCATTAATTCAGTTTTTTTTTTATCAATGAGTCACATGTGTCGATTTGNATTGATATACAATACTAATATATGTCAGTGTCATTTTTATTGACATTATTTTGTAAAAATACTGTGTCTTTCATTTTTATCTTAAAATTCACTCCTTTTTACATAAATTTCCATTTAAAATTCTTACAATTCTGACAACTTATATTTTTTTTTGTGGCAGAAAATGTTCATTTCTTTAAAGCAATATAACTACACAATTTGAAGAAATTCTACTGAGAAATGGTGACACAATCCTATTACCTTAATTGTTATGATGACTGATTGGGGTGGTTAAGTTTTATCATTTCCGATATTTACATCAGAGTTTTTGACGTCACAACACTCCAATTCCGTCTTTGCGTATTGCAGAGTTATCTTCTCTTTTGAGCAGGTATTGATTGTTACGTCATTGGTTTGTGAGAGTAACGTCATCAATTTTTGAGAAAACGACGTAATTTTCTCACACAAACCAATAACGTAACAATCAATACCTGCTCACAAAAAAAGATAACTCTGCAATACGCAAAGACGGAATAGCGACATTAATAGAATTTAAACGTGGCGCGACTGGAAACATGTATTGCACTTTTAAAAATAATTCGAATATGTAAGTCACCAGAGTTACCTTATCTTAGATATACAGTGTACGAAATAGTTATACAAGATTTCCTACCCTTATTTCACGAAAAATTTATTCCAATCTCAGTTGAGATGTAAGCCGAGATTAGGGTATCACAGCATGTTACCCCGAGGATAGAATATGTTTCAGAACCCAACACAAACCCGATTATATTTTTATTATATTTATATTTTTTGTTAAAATTCTTGATTTCATATCTTGATATTTACATCATAATAATAAATCACTTGATGTCAGGGTTTCCAGAAAAAAAAATTGTTTAAAGGTGAATGTCCTTTTTCTACTTTTTGTTGTCGTTGTTATATTTCGTTTGAGAGACTCTAAAATGTATTTTTTAAAGTAAAAATGATAATTACGGTAAATATATTAAATAAGTGAATTAATTTATAAATCAGCTGATAAAATGTTTTCAACTGGGCTCCAGAATGCTAAATACTTTTTAAGGGAGTGGAGCATGCTGTCTTAAAGTACTGTTGTGTACAAAACAATAAAAAAGCACACTTACAGAGAGCGAAATTGGAGCTCTGTTTCTGTTGTTGGTTTCCGTAGTTGTAGTAGTAGTTACTCAGACCGCTACCGGAACCGTAGCCTGCCATCCCGTACCCGGGGGTACCATATCCGGGGTACTGGGCCACAACAAAGGCCACTAGACATGGGATCAGGATCAGGGCGAGACACTTGTTCATCTTGTAGCTGTAAACATAAAACAATCAAACGTTCAATTTTTTTTAGGAAAACACACTATCATGTTTGTATATTAAGAAAATTATGATGGGTTTCTTATTCTACTGAACAAAAAGAATGAGGTGGGGAAGTCTATAACTAATTCGCAAAAAATATATAAAACGTTTTTCCCTCAGACTTGCATGCACTCTTTAAGTTACTAGTAAAACGAATTTTGTCGAACATTTTCATGTATACACCCTTCTCTTCTCTGTCTCCCATTTTTATTCCTTCATTCCACACTTTATCCTTTCTACTCATTTTCCCGTCTTTTCTTCGTCTGCTGGATAACCGAACTACTCGGTAGTGAAGCGGACGTAAAACCTATCAATCAATCAATCAATCATATACGATAAATATACAGTAATGGTTATCATATGGACGTGAACGTACTTACCTTTCGGTTGAGTCGTGAAGATCAGAACTGCCTGTCGTTAGTATCGGCCTGGATTTATACCCATAGAACGGAAGTGTATACGGTCACGGTGGCGTAATATTCCGTCGGTCAACACTTCCTGGACACCAATCACTGCAATGCATCGTAACATGGGTGCAAGACTTACCGCTACAGGGTTCGATTTCAACGGGTAGGTCAAACTGACCGTCGTTTATTGCCCTGCGGACACACTCGCGTGGAAGTTGTACTGTTCAGTACGTATACAGAAAATGTACGTGTGTAAAATGTCAAACAAAAAATAAAAGAATTCAAAAACTGAAAAACTAAAATAAACAATTATTATACAGTTCAATTGAACCATATTTCAGTATGATTTAAAAAAAAGGCCATGAATAGAGAGGCGATTGTTGTTTCAAGTCCGCAACATATGTGAGTTTAAAACTACAAGTAAACATAGCTGTTCTGCAAGGTTTTGTGAAAAAATGCATGTTTAGACAATATACAAACACTGTGGCTTATTTTAGTGTATTCATTTTGAAAATAGTATTTTTTTTAAATGTTCTGTGACCTTTTGCTATCTTTATGAAATACGCTTATGACCCCGAAAACCAATTACGCAAGAATTTGTAACTGTTTCTTTCAAACCATGTTGCAAGTGAGGGCGATAATTTGTTATTTGTGTGTGTGTGTGTGTGTGTGGTGGTGGTACCACGGTGTTGGTGGTGGTACCACGGTGTTGGTGGTGTTGTTGGTGGTGGTACCACGGTGTTGGTGGTGGTGTTGGTACCACGGTGTTGGTGGTGTCGTTGGTGGTGGTCCCACGGTGTTGGTGGTGTTGTTGGTGGTGGTGCCACGGTGTTGGTGGTGTTGTTGGTGGGGGTACCACGGTGTTGGTGGTGTTGTTGGTGGGGGTACCACGGTGTTGGTGGTGTTGTTGGTAGCAGTGTGTTGGTGGTGTTGTTGGTGGTGGTACCACGGTGATGGTGGTGGTGTTGGTGGTGGTACCACGGAGTTGGTGGTGTTGTTGGTACCGCGGTGTTGGTGGTGTCGTTGGTGGTGGTACCGCGGTGTTGGTGGTGTTGTTGGTGGTGGTACCACGGTGTTGGTGGTGGTACCACGGTGATGGTGGTGGTGGTACCACGGTGTTGGTGGTGGTACCACAAGGGTGGTGGTGGTACCACGGTGTTGGTGGTGGTGGTTGTACCACGGTGTTGGTGGTGGAACCACGGTGGTGGTGGTGGTGTTATCACGGTGTTGGTGGTGGTACCACGGTGTTGGTGGTGTTGTTGGTGGTGGTACCACGGTGTTGGTGGTGGGGTTGGCACCACGGTATTGGTGGTGGTACCACGCTGTTGGTGGTACCACGGTGTTGGTGGTGGTACCACGGTGGTGGTGGTGGTGGTGGTGGTGTTGGTACCACGGTGTTGGTGGTGGCGTATGTTGCAGGAGTTAAATTTCAACACCGAGCTGATTTACGGAACTTCGCTACGTGTTTTAATTAATAAAACAGATTTTTATTTCACATGTATGCAGCTTTGTCGTTTCGTGTATACATCTGCGAAAAGGATAATAACAGAGTTGTGCCCGACTGGATACTTTAACTTTACTGTAAACATATGTATTGCCAATAAAATTGAACAAGGGATTGGGCACAAGTTATTACAACTTATCAAAGCCTTCTCCCGTCATACATTTACAATTACATGTCAACAATGATAATAGGCATAAACATGAAGTATATATATATATATATATAATATTCACACAGGTACAAATACCAAACTTTAAAAAAGCACCGTTCAAAATCTTTTGCTGGATTTGATGAAGTGATGCACATGTCTATAAACGTAAGAGTTAAGGTCTACCGAAAGATCTGGATTGCCAAACAAAAGAAGCTTCAAATCTATACCTAAGGCATTCAAATTTTGAAACAAAATACGCCTTTTCATTGCTAAAAAGTTGACACTCAAAGAAAAAGTGAAAGGCATTCTCACATGGATGTCCACAGATGCAAAATGGACTCTCGACAAGATTAACTCTGTACAGGTCATACTTAAGGGAATTACAATTGTGCCTCAGTTTAGTATGTATAATAATTAATTTACTGGATAAAACTGCCCTAGGAATAATTTTTTGGTACTGTAAAATACATGTAGTTGGTATTGTAACACATTATAATGAAGAAGTTTTGTATACAGCGGTCCATAATCAATCTTATTACTTAATTTTTACTACATATTCACACAGGTATACTGATTGCCAAAGAGTTGATATTGCACGAAAACAATACCTGTAAACAACATTCATAATAATTTTAATATCCGATTTGAAGACTTAAGAAATAACAGGGATTTGTTTCCAAGTTTTATGATAAAACTAAGACAGAAAATGTTTAAGGTAGGGTATATTGTACGTTAACATATGTGACGCAAATACATGTGCAATAAACATGACAACAAAAAACGTTTGGTCTGACGTTTATTTCATTTAACAGCGTAAAATACAGTAAACTATGTATATCGTATGTACAATGTCTAAAAGATGGTCAAAATATTAAAGGATTTTGGCCACGATATTTCATAATTTCATATTTTACGGTCATTTGATGCAATAATACGTGTAGTGACCGATACCCCGTCTCTCTCGGTACTCAGATGATAGACAGGCCAGGTGACGCCCCATCTATATCAGCCTATAGCTATGATTAACTGATTGAGTGATAGGTTTTACGTCCGCTTCACTACCGAGTTGTTCGGTTATCCAGCAGACGAAGAAAAGGCGGGAAAATGAGTAGAAGGGATAAAGTATGGAGTGAAGGGATAGAAGAGGGAGACAGAGGAGAGAAGGAGCCGTCTGTCCTATATGTATTTACTGTAAAAGTCTAGTTTTTGTAAGACTACAAGGTCTAATGTTGCCTTTTCCTAACACTAGTCGTATAGAAGCACCAAGGCTGGACCGGTAGTGAGGTAGAAAGCCGCCAACATTAACACCAGCTCCTAACTATTCGTCCGTCTTGCTCTGTTTGATATTAAGATAGGCAGACCTTTTATTAACTTTTAAATTATTTTTAATGGTTGTGCAATACACCTTTAAAGGGACATCACGTGAAAAGGCGTTTTTTTTAATGAATGTATGTATTGTATGCACTTCCACTTATGTTACCTCGCTATCCCCATATTCATAGTCCATTCCAAATGTCCAGTTTGACCACTTGAATTGTTCGGGAAAGCCCTGCTAAAAATAGCACCGATAACGTCACCTGACTAGGCAGTAAACACAAGTGGTGCGAGCGAGATGAAACGGTTTCCAAGGGGCCCCCAAAGAGGGGCCGTCGGGCAACTGCAACCTCTTACCGCACAATGAAACCCAAGTTATATGATTTCTAAGTCCGTATTCAAACTTATTGAACAGTAATTATTCATCATTAGAAGTTAATTGCACACCTGCCAGTGTTCAAAATTGAAATTTATTTAGCTTTAANATATAAATCTATGTATACTCTCTTTCCCACTTTCACTGTCTCCAAACGCTAACATTTAGGAAGTCATATTAACCATCACACACAATAAACTGTATGGCAAAACCACTACGTGTACATGTAGAATATGTGTCAATAAGGAACGTGTTGAGATACTTGATAATTATATTTTTTCAATACTTTACAGAGTTAAAGCATACTTGTAAATAGGCCTTTTTATGCTGAGACAACTTTTCTTTAATCAGTTCCTTTTGTCCGAAACAGAAGCCGTAGTTATTGGCAGCACGCCCATTTTTACAACGTAATCAAATATTTTTTCCAATGTTTTCAATACGTAAACCGATTCTAGAGAAAAGGTTGTTACATGATCATACATTCTAAGTCAACATCATATGAAAACATGAACTGTTGAAAAATTACGATTTAAAAAAAAACTGTTATGCGATCCTATTTACTAGAAGTAGGTTCTCCTTCCTCAGTTATTCATCTTGGCCCGTCATTTTGACATTTTTTTATCTAGCTGCGATAACGTAGCTTTCTGACGAAGAGCGATTTTTTTTTTATATATTGCGTCGTCGCGCCAGAGGAGGCCGGGTATTATATTAGTACTAATTTAAATCTTGCATGTCAAAACAAAAACAAAATCGTTTTATTCAGCAATATAATTAAATCATACCATTTTACTGATCCCGATAGTATTATAAATTATGTAAATCTAATAGCGCACGTATCTCATTTGACCCCGATCGCGAGCACCGACAGAGGCTCAGAGAGTGGCCATCACAACAGTTATCCCTTGGAGGGCCTCATGGCAAAATCAAACTAACCAGTCACTTACCCCTTTCGTTCGCATAAACCACTGTATAATTATTAAAAACACAAAGTAAACTCTCTCCGATACATGCCCATTAAAATATTAAACTAAGTTCATCTGTGTTCAAACTCACACAATGATACTAGCGAGGTTAATAGTTTTAGATATTTATTCATAACATAAATAGCGCTAGCATTTCTGTCGATTTTATTTCAGCTTAACCGGCCGCTATCCGGAAGAATACATGCATCGTACTAACTGCTAGGGCAGCTATTTTCTGCTTTGAATACTTCCCACTGGCAATAATGATTCCGTAACGTATCCCTTGCGCTATCTTTTGACCATTTGGCAACTTTTCGCTTCGTAGCTGACACGGTATAACACTTTACTTTCGCTTACTGAATTCACACGGCCAGTCATTTTGTTTACAAAGAAATGGTGTGCTATGCGCATGCGCTAGTAGAGGGAAATCCCTGAACAAAACGTTGGTCAGACCAGGGACAGTATATTATACGTCCCTGGTCAGACAGGTAGAAATACCGATGATTATCTTAGATTTAATCATTTTTATGAATCTATTTCAGCCAAATCCGGTCGTTATTTTCCATAGTGTGTCTCACTTGATATGTTTATGTAATATTTGAAAATAAGACACAAAAAAAGTTACTTCAGCGTGATGCCCCTTTAAGTGTACTTGAATGGTTGTGTAATGGAAAAAAAAGCAATAAATCATCAGAGACGTATAAATACATGTATTATACGTCTCT